CCTGGGGAGACAGAGCAGGAGTGAGTAAGGGGAGCAGGGGTGGGGGTGGAGGGACGATGGGGGGCAGAGGACAGGGACATAGGGACAGGGTGGGGCTCACCAGGCTTTTGAGGTTTCACGCTCCCTCCAATTCCTGAGAAAGAGACAGAGACTCGGTGAGGGAGCCTAGAGCTCCTGTGAACCCCGAACCCAAGCACGTGCCTCCAGCTCCCCCCACCCTTCCCCTACCTGGTCCCTGGACGTTCTGAGCCGTGGGGCCTGTGGAGAGAAGGAGGGTGGAGGCTGGAGCCCAGCCAGTGCTGGGTGGGCCCACACCTCCTGTGGTATCCTCACCCCACAACCTTTGTGCCCCCCAAAAGTTATTCCCGTGGAGCATGCCCAGAGAGGGGACTGGAAGTCTGGAAGAGCCTCCCCAAGACCACAGCTCAAGCCAGAGGAGTGGCAGCAGCGGCTAATGAAGGGAGCAGTCCCTGGGAGGGTGGCAGAGTGGCAGGGCTGGGGACAGGGTGAGAGGGCTCCCCCGCACTTGGTTTCTGAGGTCTTATGCCCCCTCCCAGCCCTGGGGAGTGACAGAGAGATTGATACTGACTCCTACCAGCCCCTCACCTAAGAATGTGGGCCGGGACCCTGAACCCCGCTTGCCTGCCCCTCCCTGCAGCCCCATGGCCCTGGAAAAGCACCAATGCTGAATCCATTTCTGCTCCCAAATCCTGGGGACACAGAGGTGGCGCTGTTGGCTGTGGGCTGGCAGGTTGGGGCAGGCAGAAGGGGCCAGGATAGAAATGGGTGGGGAGAGTGCCAAGATGGGCAGGGCAGGGCTCACCTGGCTTCGGAGGTTTCATGCCCCCTCCCAGGCTGAGCCCCTGCCCTCCCCCAAGAACGCAACTCTCTCCCGGTTCCCTGATGCCAGCTCTGTTCACACCTTCCCCCTCCCTGGACCACAGGGTGGTGCCCCAGGTGCCCTCACCTGCCTGGGCTCCCGGCCCTGGGAAGTCACCAGCTCCCAGCCCATTTCCATATCCTGGGGAGACAGAGCCAGAGGGAAGGATGGGGGGAGGGGCTGGGGCTTCAAAGGGCAGGTAGATGGAGAGGTGGGCAGAGGGGCGGTCATGGAGCAGGTCTCACCTGGCTTCTGGGGTTTCACCCCCCCTTCAAAAGCCTGGGGAGAGAGATGCAGTAGATGAGGGCACACCAGGGAACCAGCCTCTTCCTGGGGTTCCATGAGCTGAGGGCTAAGGTGGGGGGCATTTGTGGTCCCAGCTGAGGTAGGGGTGGAGCAGGGGTGCCCTTGCTCTCCATTCCCCAAACCAGACAACTGGAACAGTTTTGGTCCTTCCCTTTGCCTCCAGTGAGTCACCTGTTGTGCCCTGAGGGAGCCTGGGGGAAGACCCAGTGGTATCCTCCCCACCCCTCATATCCAAACCCAACTTTTTCCTGGAACCTCCTCACCTGGCTGGGTGGCAGAACCTGGGAAGGCCCTGACTCCCAGCCCATTCCCGTTCGTAAACCCTGGAGAGACACTTGGGGAGACAGGGCAGGAGAGGGTAAGGGAGAGGGTCAGAGAGATGGGGAGAGACAGGTAGGGCGAGGCTCACCGGACTTCTGGGGTTTCACAACCCCTCCAATGCCTGAGAGGGGGATGGGGGTCAACTGAGGGTCTCAGGAGACCCGATGTTAGGGGTGCCCCTAGAATCCTGGCCCCCTAGCCATTGGGAGCTAGAGGGCCTGTGGGGAGAGGAAGCCATGAACTGGGTGGGTTTGGGGTGAGGGTGCAGGACCCTTGGACCCCACCAGAAACAGCAAACTTGAAGGCTCTCTGTCTGTCCCTTCACCCCCTGGAATTATTCACAAATCCTGCCCTCCGCTCCGAGGCCTGGGAGGGAGCAGGGGGATGGGCAATGCCCAGCCCCACCACTCACCTGGCTGGGCTTCTAGCCCATGCCGAGTGCGGAATCCTGGGAGAAGAGATAGAGGTGAGGGGTTTGAGAGAAGGGTGGGGAGACAGAGAGAAAGCCGGGGCCAGGCAGGGCCCACCTGGCTTCTGAAGTTAAACACCCTCTCGGAAGCCTGTGGGAGACTCAGTGAGCTGGTGCGAGACTCAGGACGCCCTCCACCCCATAGCCATTCTAAGCCAGGGCCTGTGGGAACTCAGCTCTAGTCCCTTCTTCCCAAGAAGGGTGCGGGACGCAGGAGGGGCCCTGGCTCCTGGGAGCTCACTCCCCTTCCTTCCTTCTTTTGGCTCTGAGCTGGCCCAGGGCCTCGCAGTGAGCTGGGCTTGCCCGCCCTGGAGTTGGGTTCTGTGGGCAACTGGGGAACAAGCAGGGACAGGAAAGAGTTGTACCCCCGGGGCATGTACATGGTGAGACAACAGAACCGCCTTGGTGGATTCCTGGGGCAGGGGAGCAGTGTGTAGGAGGGAAAGGACAAGGCCTGCAGGAAGGGTGGTGGGCCAGCTTCTCCACGCAGGGCTGGGGTGGGGGGGAAAGTGCAGCAGTGTGGTCCCCAAGTGTTTCTGAGATGGCTGCCTCCCCCAGACCCAAATCCCATTTGCCCATGCCTTACCTGCTCCTAGACCACTGGGGGGGGCCATAGCCTGTGGGGGAAACGGGAAGTTGAGGCTGGGGGGCAGGAGGGGCCAGGAGCTGGGTGCCCTGCTCTCATTCCGAGGACACAGAGCTGCCCCGCCTGCCACCCCTCAGCCAGTTTTACCTGATGGATAGCCATTCAAGCCTCCTAAGCCTGTGGGGTCAGGAAGAGAGGGTGACTTAGGAGGCAGCAAAGAGCTGAATCTGGATGCTCCCTGCAAAGCGAGAGAGGACACCCCCATCTCTGGGCCTCAGGTGCCCTGGGGTCACCGGAGGGTAAACAGACTGGTGGCAGGGGCAGGAGAAGTGGAAGAGTCCCTGGCATGGAGGGAGGCGTCTGGGCCATACCCCTGGGAGCAGATCCCCCTGCACCTTCTTCCAGGGGCAGCTGCACCTCTGGCCTCCATTCTTACTTGAACTCCTCCCTTCCTGGAAATCCCATCCTCGTCCCCCAGCCCCGAAGTCTCTCTCCTGCAGCTTAGGTGTGTCAGGTCTCAGGAGGAAGCCCCTCTCCCACCTGTAGGGCCCCACAGGTCCCTGGAGGGAAGACCCTTCCGGACACCCCACCCCTGGCCTCGCCCTAACTCACCTTGTCTCCTCCCTTCCTGTCCTACTTCCACGCCTTTGCCTCATGTCTCTGCCAGCGATGTCCTTCCCCTTTCCTGTCGCAATCTGCCCCACCCCCACCCCGCAAAACCAACTCCAGGCCTTCCTCCAGCCCTGATGTTCTCACACCCAGGTTTGAGATTCTGCCCCATCTCAACTCAGTTCCAAGGGTGCGAGCTATCTATTTCTCACACTTGAGCTGATGTGAACAAGGTCACCTGCCAGGAAGAAACGGATGACCCTGTGTTTTCCTGGGCCCCAGATCTGGATCCCAGAGCAGGGAACATCTGGGGTGCTCCCCTAGAGAGCTCCCAGACCCCTGCGAGGGGAAGACCAGGCCCTCTTCCTTGACCCCAGAGCCTGGAGGATCCACTTACCTTTCCCCAGGCTAGGAGACAATGGAGGTAGCCCTAGGGGAGGAAGGGGGGTCCTGACTCAGGGCAGGGACCCCAGGCATCTATCCCCCAGTCTCCCAAAGCCCTGCCCAGCCCAGATTCACAGACCCTCCCCTCCTTCTCTCTGGAGCCCCAGCATCTGGCCCAATGCTCTACCTGCACTCCAAGCCCCAACTTCAGCTGCCCAGACCCGCCAGCAGCCCTGCTGCCTGCTCTCACCGCCTTGCAGGCTTTCAGAAGTCAAGCAGAGCAGGAAAAGGGTGGAGGGGAAGGCCCAGGTGCTCATGATGCGGGCAGAGTGAGAAGACACCCACCCTTTGGGCCTTTAAACACCTCTGCTACGTGGGGGCCCACACCCACTTCCCCCCACTGTGAGTAGCAGAGGCTCCGCTGGGCTGGCAGACCCCAGGGGGCAGCCCCCGCCCACCCCACCCCCCACCCCACCCCGGCCTCTTCCCTGCTCACCCCTCATCGATCATGGGTGCTGACAGCCGGGACAGGCCCCCACCTAGCCCCCCGGGCTCCTCCACCCCTGTCAGGGACTGGGGCCCTGGCGCCAGGCCTGGAGGGCTCAGCTGCTCCCCCCAGCAGCTGACGAGGGCAGGCAGGCACCCCAGACCCAGCCTAAACACAGCTGGGGGTGGGGGTGGGGGGGAGCCAGGCCCAGAAATGTGGGCGTGGCTGGCAGGGGAGGCTCTGAATGAGTTACTATGTTACAGGAAGGAGACAGTATTAGAGGCAAGTGGCCAGGGGACAGTGTAGCAGACTGTATCAGGACTGTATCACTGTATCCCACAGGCAGGTGTGTCCACTAGAGGAGCTGGGCTATTAACCCATCTAACCCTGGAGACCTCAGTGACCACACCAGGAGACGGCCCTTTGCCCCCAACTGAGTCTGGGCTTGCAAGAGTGGGCCTGAGCCTCCCTTCCATGAAGGATGGTGACACAGGGATGGGTCACCCCATGTTCAGCCTGTCCAAGAGTCCCTGCTGTTTCTCAAAGGCTCAGCCAGGGTCCACCTGCTGCACAAGTCCCTCCCAGCTTCACCTCCATCTCCTGCTCTGCTCCATCTGCACTGACTCTAACTTTAGGGACAGAATCTGGGGGAGGGGGAGCTGCTTAGGGTGCGGTGGGGGCAGGAGTGCAAAAAGGGTACCTGGGGGTTAGTAAGCACTCTCCATTCCTCAGGTGGGTGGATGAGCCTGGAGCTGGGGCCTGGGCGCAGGGGGCTTGGTGGGGAGGCGAGTACGGGAGACCCAGAGAGGTAGGCCTGGGAAATGCCAGGAGTTGGGGCCTGGACCCCAGCCCAGGTAGAGGGCTGAGGGGGTGGCTTGAGGGGCCTTTAGCACAGCTGCACGTTTGACCCGCAGGCGCCTGGCCTCCTCTTCAACTGGCCTCCCCCAAATTCCCACCCTGGCAGGTGGTGCTGTTGTGGGCAGTTGGCAGGGAGCCTACTGACATGGGCTGTGCCATTTTAGGCGATGCACTCCTTGGGCCTCCAACTTGCACTTCCGACACGCCAGCTGTCACCTTGCCCTGGGCTCCCAGCTCTGGCGCCTCAAAGTTGCTCCTCTATTCGGAGGCTGGGCCATGTCCCCTCACACCTAGGGGCAAAAGGTAGCCCAGGACCTAGCTCCATCAGGGGCTCTCTCAACCCACTCTAAGTGGTCCATGTGTTCTCAGGCTGTCCTGCCAGGGCGGGGCTGGGGGTAAGCTGAGGGGACTGGCCTTGCTGGGGGTCGGGGTGGTGGTACTGCAGGGGCCAGGGATGCCCAACTGGGCCAGGCCCTTGTCCTGAGTGGAGTCAGCTGGCCCAAAGCCCTGGACTGGTTGGCATTTTTCACAGGCCCATGCCAGCACCCATGCAGCCTGGCAGTGGTGGCGGGCACTGGCTTTCCCTCTGGCAGTGGCCAAGCAGGAGCCCAGACTGTACCTCCTGCAAGGCCTATCCTAGTCTCCCCGCCTGCCTCCTCCTGGGCCAAGCTTCCCTGGCACCCTGCAGGGTGGGCCATGTGTCTGTGTGTCTGGATCTGTGCAGGGGGCCCTCAGCCATCCCAGGTCTGAAGCAGACACCTTGGGCCTAGACTGGCGCAAGGTGGGCAGACAGCGAAGTGGCATCTGAGGTAACAGGGGCTGCTGCTGCCCAGAAGTGTGTGGATGAGCAGAGGGCGGAGGCCTGTGGACTGCCCAGCCTCAAATCCCAGCCCCGCTGCTTAGTTGTAAAATCTGTGCCAAGTCCCTTCTCTCTGCCTCTGTCTCCCCATCTGTAAAATGGGGTAAGAAGTAGCTCCCCCATTTTAGAGGATAGTGAACAGACTCAGGAAAGTGGGATTTCTGCTCAAGCTCCCAGCCAGATGGAGCTGGTATGTGAACCCGATCTGCATCTGAACCCAGCGCCCAGTCTGCTAATCATAGGCCACTTGGTCACCGTCCGTGAGTAGGCGAGGGGGCCGGTGCCTGTGGCCATGGGGCAGAGCAGGTGGTCTGGCAGGAAAGCCCTCCCCAGGGAGCGTGAGTGGACCATCCCAGCTGCCCCTGGCTGTCAGAAGTGGTTGAGGCCAGGGGCCACCCCTGAGCCCTTCCCAGCAGCCAGTAAATGTCCAGCCTCCAGGACTCCAGGTCTTGGCTACCTGCCAGGTGGGGCAGGAGGTGCGCCTGTGGGGTGCTGTGCTGGGGTGCCTGGCTGAGGGGACCCAGCTCGAACAGAGGGGTCTTGTTCACAGGTGGGTCTGTGGGGGGGAGGTGGGTGCCCCAGGCATAGTCACATCACGTGTGCTCTCATGTGAGTGTGCTCCCAGGGTGCAGGCCCTCTTGTGGGGAGCGAGCAGCAAGGGTGCAGCCCAGGGTGTGTGTGTGGGGGTGGGCAGAGGGGGAGGTGCTGGTGGCTTCAGCCCAGATCCCTGCATTGGCCACCTCTGGGACACCTCTGTCACCCCCAAGCACGTGCATTGTGCAAAGCTGACTTCTATTAACTCCCTCTCCTACCTGTCAGATTTTTTTTGTTTTTTGTTTTTTGTTTTGCGATACGCAGGCCTCTCACTGTTGTGGCCTCTCCTGTTGCAGAGCACAGGCTCCAGACGTGCAGGCTCAGTGGCCATGGCTCACAGGCCCAGCCGCTCCTGGGCACGAACCCATGTCCCCTGCATCGGCAGGCGGACTCTCAACCACTGCGCCACCAGGGAAGCCCTCAGATTATTATTTTTTAAAAACCTATGCCAGGGACTTCCCTGGTGGTCCAGTTGTTAAAACTCAGCGCTTTCACTGCCTGTGGGCCCGGGTTCAATCCCTGGTTGGGGAACTAAGATCCTATAAGCCGTGCAGCGTGGCCAAAACCAACAAACAAAATTTATGCCATTGCAAAGTGTGCACAAGACAGAAACATACAGTATAATAAGTACCTATAAAGCACCTATGCAACCAGCACAAAGGTCAAGAAATAGAACACAGCCAGCTCCCCAGAAGTGTCCATCACAATCGCTTCTTTCCTGTTAGGGTAGTCATGTTTGCACGTGTGGCCGTCTTTTCCTTGTCTTTCTTTCTTTCTTGTTAATATATTTACTTATTTATTTATTTTTGGCTGCATTGGGTCTTCGTTGTTGCTCGTGGGCTTTCTCTAGTTGTGGAGAGCAGGGGCTACTCTTTGTTGTGGTCCGTGGGCTTCTCATTGCAGTGGCTTCTCTTGTTGCAGAGCACGGGCTTTAGGAGCGTGGGCTTCAGTAGTTGTGGCACGTGGGCTCAGTAGTTGTGGCTCACATGTTCTAGAGCGCAGGCTCAGTAGTTGTGGCACATGGGCTTAGTTGCTCCACGGCATGTGGGATCTTCCCGGACCAGGGCTCGAACCTGTGTCCCCAGCATTGGCAGGAGGATTCTTAACCACTGCGCCACCAGGGAAGTCCTTTGCCTTTCTAAAGTCACATTATTCCAATTTTGTGGCCCCATCCCTGGTGAGTGGTGAATGCCGTCTTGGCGGGCCCGCGGTGCTATTTCTGTGACAGGTCACACGGGGGCGCGCTGTTCAAGCTGGCTATCACCTGGATGTGAGGCCAGGACCAGGGGAGTCCAGAGCCTGGGCAGGGGTTGGGGGGCTTCCTCCTGGACCGAGCCTCTGCCAAGTGCTCTGGTCTCAAACCTGTGACCCCCCCAGGTGGGTGCAGAGGTCCTGGGTCTGAGTCTCCTCCAGGGACCTCCTTTAGGTCCAGGCAGGTGCTTTAAAAACTGCAAAACACTATATGCACGAGAGAGTGTTACTATTGTTAAACAGTGAGTAAGTTCCTACTGTGTGCTTGACCCTGTCCTTTATTCACATGCACTTTCTCATTTAGTGCTCATACACCCCAAGGAGGAATGAACTATTATTATTATCCTCATTTTACAAATGTGGAAACGGGCCCAGAGACATAAAGCACCTTGCCCATGATTGCACAGCTTGTGTGTGGCAGAGTTGGGTTAGAGCCTTAAATTCCCTGACTCCATGGTCCATGCTCTTACCTGCTATCTGTACTTAACTTTATATTAAAGCATGTTTGTGAATTTTAAAATTATTATTATTATTTTAAAATTTATTTATTATTTGTTTTTGGCTGTGTTGGGTCTTTGTTGCTGCACACAGGCTTTCTCTAGTTGCGGCGAGCGGGGGCTACTCTTCGTTGTGGTGCACGGACTCTAGGCGCGTGGGCTTCAGTAGTTGCGGCACACAGGCTCAGTAGTTGTGGCTCATGGGCTCTAGGGCTCAGGCTCAGTAGTTGCGGCGCACGGGCTTAGCTGCTCCGCGGCATGTGGGATCTTCCCAGACCAGGGCTCAAACCCGTGTCCTCTGCATTGGCAGGCGGATTCTTAACCACTGTGCCACCAGGGAAGTCCCTAAAAAATTATTTTTTAAGTCATTGTGAATTAGACGTTCGGACCTGAGCCCAGGACTCCCGGAGATGGGGCTGGCAGAGGGGCTGGCAGCTGGAGAGGGGCCTGCCTGCTCCCGGGGTCTCCTGGGGACAAGCCTGGGGTCTTTAACAAGGATTCAGCCTGAGTGACAGGGGCTGGCCCGTGGCTACCAGATATGCTAATGCAAAGAAGGGCACATGGAGGGGGTGCTGCAGCCCCCAGAGAAGCTCTGGGTCTTGGGCCTAACCCAGGATTCCAGGCCCTCCAGCGATGGTCCATGCAGTGGAGAGTGTCCCCTGAAGGTATAAGCACCACAGTGAACTGGGAGCCCTGCAGTCCATGACCTTTCAGAGACTTGGGGAGATAGATGATCAACAAATAAACTGATAGAGGATAGAATTTCAGATAGAGATAAATGCTATATGAAAATAAGGTGGGGGACTGCCCTGGTGACGCAGCAGTTAAGAATCCACCTGCCAATGCAGGGAACATGGGTTCCAGCCCTGGTCTGGGAAGATCCCACATGCTGTGGAGCAACTAAGCCCATGCGCCACAACTACTGAGCCTGCGTGCCACAACTACTGTAGCCCACGCACCTAGAGCCTGTGCTCTGCAACAAGAGAAGACATGGCAGTGAGAAGCCCGAGCAAGGAAGAGTAGCCCCCGCTCGCTGCAACTAGAGAAAGCTCACACGCAGCAACAAAGGCCCAGTGCAGCCAAAAATACATAAATAAATAAAATTTTTTAAAAAAAGAAGAAAAGAAGGTGGGAAAGGAGATGTGATGAGATGGGGAGCTTTCTAGGGAGGGTGGTCTGGAAGAGTGACTCCCCTTGATCCTGTTAAACAGATAAAAAGTCCCCTCGATGGAGGAAGAAGCAACCCCCCTGCTAAGAAATTTAAGGGGATCATGCTATTTGAACGCCCAGCTCGGTGAAGGAAGCGTAATCAGCTCCACTTTTACAGGAGAGGAGACTAGTCCGAAGCTCAGAAAGGCCCAGGGCCTTCCCAAGGTCGTTCAGCCAGGAAGGGGCTGAGGGAGGTTTGAGCTGTGCTTAAGTCTCAAATCCAAAGAATGGGAATGGCTGCCTCGGAGGTGGCCGAGGCCTGGAGACAGGGAGGCTTCCTGGAAGAGGCAGAAGTTTCTGGTTTACGAAGCCGCGCGTTCCGCAGGTGGAGGGTGTGTGTGTGTGTGTGTGTGTGTGTGTGTGTGTGTGTGGGTGTGTGTGTCTGTGTGTGTGTGTGTGTGTCTGGTTTACGAAGCCGCGCGTTCCGCAGGTGGAGGGGGTGTGTGTGTGTGTGTGTGTGTGGGTGTGTGTGTCTGTGTGTGTGTGTGTGTGTCTGGTTTACGAAGCCGCGCGTTCCGCAGGTGGAGGGGGTGTGTGTGTGTGTGTGTGTGTGGGTGTGTGTGTCTGTGTGTGTGTGTGTGTGTCTGGTTTACGAAGCCGCGCGTTCCGCAGGTGGAGGGGGTGTGTGTGTGTGTGTGTGTGTGGGTGTGTGTGTCTGTGTGTGTGTGTGTGTGTCTGGTTTACGAAGCCGCGCGTTCCGCAGGTGGAGGGGGTGTGTGTGTGTGTGTGTGTGTGGGTGTGTGTGTCTGTGTGTGTGTGTGTGTGTCTGGTTTACGAAGCCGCGCGTTCCGCAGGTGGAGGGGGTGTGTGTGTGTGTGTGTGTGTGGGTGTGTGTGTCTGTGTGTGTGTGTGTGTGTCTGGTTTACGAAGCCGCGCGTTCCGCAGGTGGAGGGGGTGTGTGTGTGTGTGTGTGTGTGGGTGTGTGTGTCTGTGTGTGTGTGTGTGTGTCTGGTTTACGAAGCCGCGCGTTCCGCAGGTGGAGGGGGTGTGTGTGTGTGTGTGTGTGTGGGTGTGTGTGTCTGTGTGTGTGTGTGTGTGTCTGGTTTACGAAGCCGCGCGTTCCGCAGGTGGAGGGGGTGTGTGTGTGTGTGTGTGTGTGGGTGTGTGTGTCTGTGTGTGTGTGTGTGTGTCTGGTTTACGAAGCCGCGCGTTCCGCAGGTGGAGGGGGTGTGTGTGTGTGTGTGTGTGTGGGTGTGTGTGTCTGTGTGTGTGTGTGTGTGTCTGGTTTACGAAGCCGCGCGTTCCGCAGGTGGAGGGGGTGTGTGTGTGTGTGTGTGTGTGGGTGTGTGTGTCTGTGTGTGTGTGTGTGTGTCTGGTTTACGAAGCCGCGCGTTCCGCAGGTGGAGGGGGTGTGTGTGTGTGTGTGTGTGTGTGTGTGTGTGTGTGATCCCCACCGCATCCCAGTGCAAGTCAGGCATGAGGAGGGAGTACTGAGCCCAGGGCACTCCACCTTGCCGGGACCCCGGAGGCGGCAGCGACTTCCTGTGCAGCCCCAAGTGACCGCCTCTTGGGGCTACACCTCCAGGGCGAAACGCAGTGACCATTCCCTTTATAGATGCGAAAACTAAGGCAGCCCAGCGAGGGCCGTGGGTGCTGGCACCGGGGTCTGGAGGTCGGTCGATGTCCGGAGGTCGTTCGGGGTCCTGGGAACCAGGCGGGAGTACCCAAGAGCAGGCTCAGACCCAGCGTGGTGCCTCAGCCTCCAGGTGGCACCGCGTAGCCACCCCCGACCGGGGCCAGCACAGAGAAGGTTTTGCGCCTACGCAGTGTGAGCACTCGGCCGCGGAGCCGGCGGGGCGGGGTCGGAGGCGCGCACGCAGGGACGTTGGGGCGGAGCCCCAGCAGGCTGTGCGCCTCTGACAGGCTGCACCGGGGGTAAGAGGCGTTCCTGGGCGGGGCCTCGAAGCCGGTTTGGAATTTTTGGCGCGAGCCGTGTCCGCGCGCGTTCACGGGCCGTTCCCCCTCCGGAGAGTCCTCCCGCCCTGGCTTGGGGAGCGGTGGGCCGAAGACCCCGGACCGCTCCGAGGGCTCCTGTGCCCTCCGCCGACCCGGAATCTGGGACCTTGCTGAGCTGCTCCCCGCCGTCCCGCCCCAGGTGAGCCCATACCCGGCCCTGAAGGTTCTCGGGCGGGATCGCCCTCTCCTCCCTTCTACCTCCCTCGCGAGCACCTCCTTGCCCCCTGACAGCCCTTCCCCGGTCCTGCCTCACCCCCAACCCCCTCCCGCCTCCTTCCTCACCTCTCCGACAGCCCCACCCCTCCCTGCCCTGCCGCGGGCGGCTCCGCCCACTTCCCCTCTAGCGGCTCCTGCCCCTAGACGGTCCTTGCCCTCCTCCTTTCCCGGCCTCCCTCTTTTTCTGGGAGCCCCCTTCCACAGCGACTGCTCCCCCTTTACTCGTCCTTCCCCAGGAAAAGCCCCACCGACCTTCCATCTACAGCCCCTCCCCCGTGACAGCTGGTCTGCTCAACTCTATTCGCCAGGGTTTCCCCACGCCCACGGAGGTGAATCAGCTGTGGCCCTGACCAGGAGGAGCTCACAGTCTAGTGCGATAGACCGTGGTCAACAGATGTGTCCTGCCCAGTGAGAGGGTGAGGCCCCTGAAAGCTGCAGAGCTCATCCCGGCCTGGCTTCTGCTCAGGGCCACCCTGGATTCACCGGGAGCCCCTGCTTCTCCTCCCTCCCCATCCCACCCCCAAAGTTGTTTGGCCATGCCAATGGTGCTAGAACGTAAGTGACATTGGGATGATCTGAGAATTGGTTTAAGATGCAGGTGCCCAATGTCCCTGAATGTGATATGGCTGGGCCCGGAGGCTCTACTTCTAACCAGCACCCTAGGGGTTCCTGACACCCTGGTCCCTCACTTTAAGAAACTCTGGGATGGGATTCCTGAGATGCATAGAGGCAGAGGGAGGGTACCCACAGGCTGTAGGGTGAGTCTTCCCATGCAGGCCCCTGTGGGGTCCCTCCCCTCATGCCTCACTTTCCTAGGCACTGGAGAGTACCCTTCAGATGACTGATCCCTCCAGTTTCAGTCACTGACTCACCCCCTGCTAAGTATGGAATCTTTTGATACACTGTGGCTCCTCTCAAAATTGGACTTCTCTCCTTTTTTCCTCTTGTTATTCTTTCAATTATAACATTAGAGCAACACAGTAGCCCTCTTTGCTCCAATACAAAAGTCACTTACACCCGTGGGACCACTGTATTTTGTGTGTTCTTTCAGTTACTACTCAGAGCGTTATTTATTATATATTATTTATTATATAACAGTTACTGAGGGATCTGCATGCCAGGCACTAGACTAAGGCTTCCATTAAGTTAGCATTACAGGTCCACAAACCCCTGAGGCCAGGTGTGTTTCAGAATTCAAAATGTCTCCCATTTTAGAAAGCTAATAGGGTACGTGTAACATTTATATGTAACACCATCCATTCATGGGTCTGGGACATCATTTCATAATCAAACACATTAATATTTCTGTCAAGAAATATATGATTATTTTACACTTAGAGGGAAGAATAGGCCAGGTCAGATTTTTCTGCTAAATGAGGTTTGCATGTAGATATCCAGTTGTCCCAGCACCATTTGTTGAGAAGACTGTTTTATTTCTGCTGAATTGTTTTGGCACCCTTGTCAAAATCAATTGACTATAAATGTGAGGGTTTATTTCTGAACTCTCAATTCTATTCCATTGATCTTCATGTCTATCCTTATGTGAGTACCACACTGTTTTGATTACTGTAGCTTTGTAGTAAGTTTTTTTTTAATTAATTTATTTTTATTCATTTATTTTTGGCTTTGTTGGGTCTTCATTGCTGTGTGTGGGCTTTCTCTAGTTGCGACAGGGGGGCTACTCTTCATTGTGGTGCACAGGCTTCTCACTGCAGTGGATTCTGTTGTTGCGGAGCATGGGCTCTAGGCGCACAGGCTTCAGTAGTTGTGGCACGTGGGCTCCAGAGCACAGGCTCAGTAGTTGTGGTGCACGGGCTTAGTTATTCCGCGGCATGTGGGATCTTCCCGGACCAGGGGTCGAACCCGTGTACTCTGCATTGGTAGGCGGATTCTTAACCACTGTGCCACCAGGGGAGTCCCGCTTTGTAGTAAGTTTTTTTTTCTTTTTTCTTTTTTTTAGTAAGTTTTAAAATGGGGAAGTGTGAGTCCTCCGACTTTGTTTTGATTGTTTTGACTCTTGGGTCCTGTGAATTTCCATATGATTTTTAGGATCAGTTTGCCAATTTCTGTAAAGAAGCTACCTGGGATTCTCGTAGTGATTGTGCTGAGTCTGTAGATCAATTTGGAGAGTATTATCATTTTATTTATATTAAGTCTTTGGATCTATGAACATATAATGCCTTTCCATTTATTTAGGTCATCTTTAATTTCTTAAAGAAGTTGGGGGAAGAAAGAAAAGCAAGTGTATATGTATAATTTTTTACACTGACCTTCTTTTTTACCATTTCTGGTTCTCTTCATTTGTTCCTGTGGGTTTGAGTTACCATCTGGTGTCATTTTCTAGTCCAATATAATTTTGTTCCCACACACTTAAATCTTTGTGCTGTTATTTGCAAGTATATTACATTTCTATATATTATATGCCCAACAATACAGTTACATACATAGTTTTATACAGTTGCTTTTTAAATCAGTTAAAAGAGGGCTTCCCTGGTGGCGCAGTGGTTGAGAGTCCGCCTGCCAATGCAGGGGACATGGGTTCGAGCCCTGGTCTGGGAAGATCCCACATGCCACGGAGCAACTAGGCCCATGAGCCACAACTACTGAGCCTGCGCGTCTGGAGCCTGTGCTCCGCAACAAGAGAGGCCGCGATAGTGAGAGGCCCACGCACCGCGATGAAGAGTGGCCCCCGCTTGCCACAACTAGAGAAAGCCCTCGCACAGAAACAAAGACCCAACACAGCCAAAAGTAAATAAATAAAATTAAAAAGTAACTGTACCATTAAAAAAAAAATCAGTTAAAAGAAGAAAGGAGAAAAATATGCATTTATACTGTCTTTTATATTACATAATTACCTTTACTGGTGCTCTTTCTTTTTTTCATGTACGTTTGAATTACTGTTTGGGATCACATGCTTTCAGCTTGAAGAACTTCCTTTAGTTTTCCTTGTAAAGCAGGTCTGCTAGCAATGCATTCTTTCTGTTTTTGTTTATCTGGGAATATCTCTTTTTTGTCTTTATTTATTTTATTTATTATTTTTTTTGCAGTATGCAGGCCTCTCACTGCTGTGGTCTCTCCCGTTGCGGAGCACAGGCTCCGGACTCGCAGGCTCAGGGGCCATGGCTCACAGGCCCAGCCACTCTGTGGCACGTGGGATCTTCCCAGAGCAGGGCACGAACCTGCGTCCCGTGCATCGGCAGGCAGACTCTCAACCACTGCGCCACCAGGGAAGCCCTCTTTTTTGCCTTTATTTTTGAAAGATAGTTTCATTGGATATAGGATTCTTGGTTGACACATTTTCCCCCTAGTGCTTGAATATGTCATCCCACTTCCTTCTGGCCTCCATTGTTTCTTTTGAGAAGTTAACAGTTAATCTTATGGGGGGGGGTTGTCAGTGATGAGTCATTTTCTCTTGCTCCTCTCAAGATTTTCCCCTTGTTTTTGGTTTTCAGCAGTTTTAATATGGTGTGTCTGTGTGTGGATCTCTGCATGTATCCTACTTGAAGTTCATTGAGCTTCTTGGCTATGTTAATATTTTTAAAATCACATTTGGGAAGTTTTAATCCATACTTTTCCAGCTCCTTCTCTTCTCTCCTCTGGTGTACCCATCATGCATATGTTGATTCACTTAATGCTGTCCTAACATTTCTCTGAGATTTGGTTCCCTTTTCTTTGTTTTTCAGATTGCATAATTTCTATCAAACTATCTTCAAGTTCACTGATTATTTCTTCTGCCAGTTCAAATCTATTGTTGAACCCCTCCAGTGAATTTTTTCATTTCAGTGACATTGTACTTTTCAACTATGCATTTGGTTCTTTTATAATTTCTATCTCATTATTGATATTCTCTATTTAATGAGATGTTGTCATTGTGTTTCCTTTACTTCTTCAAGTGTGGTTTCCTTTGGTTCTTTGTACATATTTATAGTGGCTACTGTGAAGTCTGTCTGCTAAATCTGACATCTGGTCTCTCTTACAGGGAGTTTTTGCTGTATGTTTTTTTCCTGTGTATGGGTCACACTCTCCTGCGTCTTTGCATATCTTGTAATTTTTCTTTGACATTTTAGATAATATGTTGTAGCAACTGTGAATATTGGTTCCTCACCCTACCCCTGGGGGCTTGGGATTGTTTTTGCTTGTTTAGTGACTGGCTGGACCACTGTAGTGATGTCTCTTTCCTAAACAATGTGAAGCCTTTGACTTTGCTCCTCAGAGGGCCCAGCCTTGGGCATGTGCACAGTCACCCTGGGACACTAGTGGTTTTAGGGGGGCTCTGTTTGTCTTCTCCCTGATCATACCCAGCTGTCAGGCCCCACCAATTGCTGGATGATTGCTCTGTTGTTTTTGACAATGCCCTGGAACATCAATTACTCCATAGACTGATCCAGTCAAATTTGGGCTTTAAAGGGGTAGCTTTTTTTGTTTTGTTTTTGGCTGCGTTGGGTCTTCGTTGCTGTGTATGGGCTTTCTCTAGCTGCGGTGAGCGGGGGCTACACTTCGTTGCGGTGCTTGGGCTTCTCATTGCCGTGGCTTCTCTCGTTGTGGAGCACAGGCTCTAGGTGCATGGGCTTCAGTAGTTGTGGTGCATGTGGGATCTTCCCCGGACTAGGGCTCAAACCCATGTCCCCTGTATTGGCAGGCAGATTCTTAACCACTGTGCCACCAGGGAAGTCCCTAAAGGGGTAGCTTTGGAGTTCAGTGTTTAAGGTTTGTTCTAACCCCAGGAAGCCTCTTCTTAGCTGTCTCTTTCCCCAGTTCTCTCTGGTAAACTAGTTGTCCTGTGGTTCACTTGTAGTACAAATGGAAGTATCGGCCTCCTCCTAATTGCTTAGTACCAAAACCTCCACTGATTTTGAGAGGGCCTTTAGGCTTGAACTTCTCACACTCTGCTTCTAATCAAGTCACATTTTTGCAGGGAGAGCTTTGGAGCTCTCTGTTTCACGACCTGCCTCTCCCCGGGCAGAATCTCCTGAGCCACAGCTCTGGAGCTGGGGACAGGGACAGTGGTGCCTGTCTCTCTGAGTAGGGGCTGGTGAAAGGAGGAAGCCCCCAGCCTCTCTGCTACACTCAGCTGAAATTTAGCCTCTGCTACATGGAGCTGGAAGTGAAACCCCACTAACTGAGTTTTAGCACCTTAACTACGAAAAAGGAAGCAAGAAAGAAATTTGAAATTCAGACTTTCTTCTTCTTTTTTTTTTTTTTTTTGTGGGACGCGGACCTCTCACTGTTGTGGCCTCTCCCGTCGCGGAGCACAGGCTCCAGACGCGCAGTCTCAGCGGCCATGGCTCACGGGCCTAGCCGCTCCACGTCATGTGGGATCTTCCCAGACTGGGGCACAAACTCATGTCCCCTGCATCGGCAGGCGGACTCTCAACCACTGCGCCACCAGGGAAGACCTTTTTTTTTTTAATATATAAATTTATTTATTTATTTATTTTTGGCTGCGTTGGGTCTTCGTTGCTACACGCGGGCTTTCTTTAGTTGCGTCGAGCGGGGGCTACTCTTCATTGCAGTGCACGGGCTTCTCATTGAGGTGGCTTCTCTTGTGGAGCACGGGCTCTAGGTGCGCGGGCTTCAATAGTCGTGGCGCATGGGCTTAGTTGCTCCGCAGCATGTGGAATCTTCCCAGACCAGGGATCGAACCCATGTCCCTTGCATTGGCAGGTGGATTTTTAAGCATTGTGCCACCAGAGAAGCCCTAGACTTTCTTTTTTCCTTTGGAATTGGAGATGAAGGATAGCAGACCTGTGTTAATATTTCTACCTTACAGTCTTGCAAGAGATTGGACTTTTTTTTTTTCTGGTTGCACCAGGTCTTAGTTGCGGCCAGCAGGCTCCTTAGTTGTGGCATGCAAACTCTTAGTTGCGGCATGCATGTGGGATCTAGTTCCCTGACCAGCGATTGAACCAGGGCCCCCTGCGTTGGGAGTGCGGAATCTTAACCATTGTGCCACCAGGGAAGTCCCTGGATTTTTTCTTTTTAAGTTTTATTTATTTAGTTTTTTGGCCATGTTTTATTTATTTATTTGTTTGTTTGTTTGTTTGTTTGTTTGCCATGCCACCCTGCTTGCGGGATGTTAGTTCCCCAAACAGGGATTGAATCCTGGGTCATGGCAGTGAAAGTGCCGAGTCCTAACCACAGGACCGCCAGGGAATTCCCCAAGGTGGGATATTTTAGGGCCAAACAAGGCAGGGATGTACACACAGGTGTGGTCTGGCTCCAGAACATGCCTTGGTTTAACCTCTGCTGGACTGTGGGAACCTCCAGGACATGGCCCTGTGGTTTTCAGTCTGTGTGTCTCTAACCCCCAAGGTGCAGGTGACCACCTGCAGGCTTGCATACATTTGTATACCTTTTCCCACCAGGTGCTTGTTGTGCCTACCACCTCCATGCCTAAAGCAGAGTGTGTGTGTGTGGCGTAGACTCGGCTCTCTTCTGCAGCCTCTTTGGGGCCATAGGACCAGGTGCTGTTTTGAGTGACACACTGTTCTGAACTCTGCCCCAGGGGGGCTCCTGTGCTGGACATGCCTGTGCCCGAAGAGGGCACCCCGCCACCCCTGAGTGGCACCCCCGTCCCGGTCCCAGCCTATTTCCGCCATGCAGAACCTGGCTTCTCCCTCAAGAGGCCTCGGGGTCTCAGTCGGAGCCTTCCACCCCGGCCCCCTGCCAAGGGCAGCATCCCCATCAGCCGCCTCTTCCCTCCTCGGACCCCAGGCTGGCACCAGCCCCAGCCCCGGCGGGTGTCGTTCCGAGGCCGAGCCTCCAAGCCCCTGCAGAGCCCCGGGTATGACCCGAGCCGGCCGGAGTCCTTCTTCCAGCAGAGTTTCCAGAGGCTCGGCCGCCTGGGCCACGGCTCTTATGGAGAGGTCTTCAAGGTGAGTCAGTGATAGCTCCCCAGGCCTGTCTGGGGTAACCCCCTGCCACCTCGCCACCCTGGCTGGGATGGGACAGTGTCCTGGGAAGCCTCCTTTCCCCTGACGGCCCACCTCTTGGGCTGGCAGGCTCCCCTCAGTGCTGGACTTGGCCGCTTTCTCATAACCCCACATGCAGGCCCCTCTGAGGCCCCCTCAGTACACATTCTCCCCTTGTCCAGAGCCTGGCACGCCTTGCAATGGCTCCCACCTGCCACCTCCTCCTGCCTGGTGCTAGCCGTGTGGGGGTCTTGGCAAGCTCCACAAGGCCCCGGAGCCAGGCCACCCCCCGCCCCCAGTGCAGTGCCCACCCCACCTCCCTCCTGCTGCAAGCACTCAGGCGACACCTCCATGCCACCTTTTGTTTCTTAAAATATATTTTCCAATCATGTATATTTCCTCTAAAATGGTAGTTTTCCTTACACAAGTACTACATGAAGACAATTTTGTTAAAAAGTACAGAGGCCCCTAGGTCAGGGGAAACCACGGTGATTCTCAGGTGGGCGTTCTTCCTTCCAGACTTTTCTCTGTACTTCTCTGGAGTTGACCAGATAAAAACAAACCCATCTCATATGCCGCATGGCAGACCACACTGCCCGTGCTGTTCTGTAGACAGTTTTTTTACTTAACGCATTCTCCTGGGCCTGTACTTAGAGGTCTGCCCCGTCTTTTCTGTCGCTGGGTCTCCAGCAGACCAGCACCTGGGGTGGAGGTTTGTCCAGCTTTGCTCTTGCACACGTGGGGGTCACTCTAAGGTAGCTGCCATGCCATACCTTCCGCACACGTGAAATCTTAACAGAATCTTCTGGGTTGTCCTCCTGAGTGGTTGTTCCCCCTCGCTTCCAGGTGCGCTCCAAGGAAGACGGCCGGCTCTATGCCGTGAAGCGCTGCATGTCACCTTTCCGGGGCCCCAAGGACCGGGCCCGCAAGTTGGCCGAGGTCGGCGGCCATGAGAAGGTGGGGCAGCACCCGTGCTGCGTGCGGCTGGAGCAAGCCTGGGAGGAGGGCGGCATCCTATACCTGCAGACAGAGCTGTGTGGGCCCAGCCTACAGCAGCACTGTGAGGCCTGGGGCACCAGCCTGCCCGAGGCCCAGGTCTGGGGCTACCTGCGGGACATCCTGCTGGCCCTGGCCCACCTGCACAGCCAAGGCCTGGTCCACCTTGACGTCAAGCCTGCCAATATCTTCCTGGGGCCCCGGGACCGCTGCAAGCTGGGTGACTTTGGGCTGCTGGTGGAGCTGGGTGCATCCGGAGCTAGCGAGGCCCAGGAGGGAGACCCTCGCTACATGGCCCCCGAGCTGCTTCAAGGCTCTTATGGGACAGCGGCAGATGTGTTCAGGTAGGGCTCGACGTGGGAGGCTCTTCCTGGTGGGCGGGGGAGTGGTCAGCAGAGGGTCACCATCCTAGCCCAAAGTCAGGAAGACTTGCTGGGAGATGCTTCCGCAAGGGGTTGAGGGTCCTGCCCTCTAGTTGAGAGGGGTCTGGAGGGTTAAGCTAATCAGAGAACCCTCTGGAGCCACTTTACCTGATTCACTTGTCTCTTCACTCATCTCACCACACCTCCAAGGGAGGGACTATTATTACTCCATTCACAGGGGAATTGGGCACAGCAGGTTAAGGGACTTTCCCCAAGTCCACAGTGAGCAGGTGATGAGGCTGGGCCTGGACCAGGCGCTGGGTTCCAAGGTCCATGCTGGTCACCACTGCTCTGCTTCTGACAGTAGCATCCAGTCACATCACCAGGATGATGAGAACATCACTGTTAACAACAGCGACCAGAGTGCCAGTCCTGTGGGAGCGGGGTGGGGGGGTAGGTGGTGTGTGGGCTATGCTGGGCCCGGGGTCTGTGCTCCATGATATAGTCCCCATCATCAGCCCTGCCGAGAACTTCTCAGGGCCCCCAGCCCCTCCTTCCCCACCTCCCTGGCTCATGTGGAAGATAGCATCCCTTTCCTACCCTTCTTCTTGGGGGTAGCCTGGGGCTCTGGGTTCTGTGTCTCGAGGTCAACCCTGCCCCTCTTCTGTCCCTGTCTCTCCCAGCCTGGGTCTCACCATCCTGGAGGTGGCGTGCAACATGGAGCTGCCCCATGGTGGGGAGGGCTGGCAGCAGCTGCGCCAGGGCTACCTGCCCCCTGAGTTCACTGCTGGTGAGTGAGGGGAGAGGATTGGAGGGGATGCACTGCCACAGGGAGGGCAGGCTCTCATGGGGGGGTGGCTGGTGGCAAGGGACTGACAGGCTCAAGGCCCCATCACCCCTGATGTGGCCCTGCCCCGGGGACAGGCCTGTCTTCTGAGCTGCGTTCTGTCCTCACCATGATGCTGGAACCTGACCCCAAGCTGCGGGCCACAGCCGAGGCCCTGCTGGCCCTGCCCATGTTCAGGCAGCCGCGGCCCTGGACCGTCCTGTGGTACATGGCTGCCGAGGCCCTCAGTCGAGGGTGGGCCCTGTGGCAGGTAAGCCAGGGAAGGTCATGGGCGGCCCTGCTCTGTTCCTTGGCCCAGGGTCTGCCTAGCCTCCCTTGGTCCCCTGTCCCCACAGGCCCTGCTTTCCCTGCTATGCTGGCTCTGGCACGGGTTGGCACACCCTGCCAGCTGGCTGCAGCCCCTGGGTCCGCCGGCCACCCCGCCTGGCTCGCCGCCCTGCAGCCTCCTCCTGGACAGCAGCCTCGCCAGCAACTGGGATGACGACAGCATAGGGTGGGTAAGGACTCCGGGCAGGCGGCTGGGAGCTGGGGGAGACGGGCCGTCAGCATGGCCAAACCCCATGCTCGAGGCCCAGGCCCCAGCCCCATGGGAATTAGTAGTGAACCGGCAACCCTCCCACAAACCTGGCCCCCATCAAACCCCGGGAAGGAAACCAAGGCTGGTGGGGGTACGGCCTGGCCTAGTTTGAATGCAGTTGTTTCTTCTAATCTCAGTGTGTGGACCAGGGGCCCTACGGAGCAGGGCGAACTGGCAACCTCACAGTGAGGGTGCTGCCATGCTGGGGAGCAGCACAGGGGCCACAGCACCTGCTGGGAAAGGCAGGCGGTGCAGCCCCCACCCCCCAGAGGCTGCCAGTACCCAAGGGCAAGGTGTTATCCTTCCTCTCAGGGCACAAAATCCCCAGAGCCTGGTGAGCTCCCACCCTGGGAGGAATTCATTAGTCCCACGTGCCTGGTGGCCAAGTGAGAGGCTGTAATTAAGAAACTACTGCAAAGGAAACCACAAGCTCAGAGCAGACAGTTCTCAGAAGGAATCACACCATTAACCCCTTCCTTACGAGAATGTCACCCCATTGCCATGGGGGCGCTTTATAGCAGACAAAGTGCCAGATGAGCGTCAGTTACCACAAGGTCATTTCAAAGTCAGCTCAGTCAGAGCCCATGTGTTCTGAAAAGGGACAGAGGTGGCATTTGAGTGTGGTCAGGTAGACTTTAGAAGTTGTCAGAGTGCTCTTTCAATGTCCACCAATGCCCATTGTCTGAGAATGGCACCTGCCTGTCTCAGGCAGGAGCCCGGAGCCCGCACAGGGTCAGGATTGGTGTTGCTGCTCCCACCCAGCCGTGGCCTCCTCCCTTCCCCTCGACACCCTGCTTGTCTTGCCTGCCCCCCCGCAGGCCCTCGCTCTCTCCAGAGGCCATCCTGGCCAGGGCTGCTGGGAGCACCTCCACCCCCTGCAGTGGCTCCCCTGCCCCCCGGGGCAGGTACACGCTGAGGTGAGCGGGCCCAGGGTCCCAGGGGGTGGGAGGGGGCAGCTTTTGGATCCTGAGAGTCATTTCTCTCTCTTCTTCTCTCCCCCTAGGGATTCTCTGGACCTAAGTGACATTGACTCAGAGCCTCCACAGGGCACCTTCCCCGCCTTTGAGCCTCGGAACCTCCTCAGCCTGTTTGAGGACTCACTGGGCCCAACCTGAGCCCACAGGCCCAGGGTCGGCACTTTTAACCTCTTAGCCCCTTCCTCCATCCTCCTGGAGGCTGGGGTCCCTCTGGAAACTCCAGTGGTCCCTTCTGCCTGGCCGTGTCTAATAAAAGGTATTTGAATCTTGGGAGTACCCAAGCTTGCTTGCATGGCAACACGGTGCTTATTGATGATCCCCAGGGTCTGAGGCCCCTGCGACGGCCCAAGGTTGAGCTCTGCTGCAAGGCCCCAAGCCCCAAGCTGGCAGATTGGAGCTGGGAGTCACCCACTGTGTGGAGCAAAGATTTCCTGAGCAGGGATGTCCCTGCTGGGCAGGTCAAGCTTTCAGAGCACTCAAGGTGGAGGGTGCCCTCAGTCCAGTGGGGCCTGGGTCCAGGGCCATTCAGCTCTTTACATCTCTGTGCCAGTTGCCTGGAAGAAGCAGCAGCCAGCACCCTCCTGCCCCTAGGTCCTGGGATAAGAGGTTAGTCCTGTTGTCCAGACCCCTCATTCCACAGTCTCTGGACAGCAGGGAGAACGGGCTGCTGGGAGGGCCAGCATGCAGGGTGGACAGACAGGGCAGGAGGCTGGGCTAGGCAGCCGTGAGGTGCCTTATGTGAGAGTCAGGGTGGGTGATGGCTCTGGGCTGGCAGGATCCCAACTGTCCCTTTGGCCCAAACCTCACAGGTCACCGAGGGTAAAAACAGGCCCAGAGAAGGGAAGGTTTCCTTTCAGCCTATAAGTCCCGTGGAAGAAGGCAGGAAGGGGAAGTGGAGCTCCAACGTGTGAGTAAAAGAGGCTAGTCCACGGGGAAGAATGGATGAACAGACGAGGGCTCCCCACTAGGAAGTCCCATTTGCTGGAAGCATCCAGGGAGCCAGCATGGTGCTGTTGGCCCTAGAAGACTGTGAGCAGGCCGGCATGGCGGGTGGGAGGTGGCTCAGTCCAGGGGGCAGATGTGCCGGGCGGCCCAGAGCAGGTCAGGCACGACGCCAGCATGCAGCTGGAGGATGGAGCCCACGCTGAGCAGGTGCATGATCTGGTGTGAGTTACCCCAGTAGTCGAAGCGGCCTGGTCCCCAGCGCTCTGGCAGGCGGGCCACGTTCACCAGCCCCCCAAGCAGTGCCAGTGCATCCATGCGCAGGTAGCAGCGCAGGGAGCCTGGAGCCCCAGAGCCCAGCCCCACTCCCCGGGCCCCAAACATTAGGAGGCGGGCGCCAGCCTGCCAGCCAAAAGCTCGGAGCCGGCTACTGGTGGAGGGGGCGGTGAGGGCCCGCCAGCCTGCCACACCCGACAACACGGTGTAGGCCACCAGGGCAGCTGGGCGCAGCCAGGGCCTGCAGGCCAGGGTGCAGTGGATGATGGGCAGGGCCCCTGCACAGAGGAGAGAGGCAGGAGAGGTCACATCAGTCTGGAGGTCCACCTGCCCTTGTCCCTTTCTTTTTCCTTCCAGTTTCCCTGATACCTGCCCTTTCTATCTCAGGCTCATGTGAGTGTACCCGACCCCCAGCTCCCATCCTTCAAGCCCTCCGCCCCCTACCCCATCCCTTGGCTCACCGAGGGTGTTGACGAGGCAGACCCCACACATATCCAGGGCAAGGAGCCGAGTGTACACAGGGCTGCCCCCTTTGTGGCACATGAAGAGGTGATAGAGCACAGAGCCTGCAGGGGGTGCCAGGCAGGCTACACAGTGTGTGCCCCACAGCCAGCCATCCTTGCCCAGCTGACCCCAGGGCAAGGTCATGGGCAGCAGCACCAGGAAGCCCAGCAGGGCCAGCCCTGGGGGAGGGAGACAGTTTTCCATCAGACAGCTTCAGCATTGAGGACAAGTCATGTCCTCAATGAGGCCACAGGCTAGAGGGATGGGAACAAGACAGGTCCTGACAAGGCTGTTGGCCAACTCTTGGCCGGCCCTGGACAGAGGCAGGCTCTGGGCTTTCAGTAACTTTATTTAGCAGAGCTCACAATAGTTCTGGAAAGGGGAGACCATTATTCCCAGTTTATAGGTGAGGAAACTGAGTAACCTACCCCAGAGGACCCCAGCGAGTAAGCACTGAAGCAGCACAGAGCCCCGGGCAGTCTGACTCCCAAGCTGGTCTCACCCTTGCAGCCGCCACACCACTTCCCAGGAAAGCAGGGGGCCCCCACTCCCCAATCTGGCCTAGGTATATCAGCAGAAGCCAGAGGGGGCATGATCTCAAGGTGAGTTCTGAATCCGACATGTAGGCAATTACAACAGATCCCAGGGCCACTTATCTTGCTCCTGCCAATCCCTATGTCCTCTCCTCTCCAGAAGGGACAAGACAGATGGAGGGCCTTTTTGTCCACCAGAGCAGGTGAGGCCAGGCAGGGCAGGGGGCTGAAAGAACCCTGTTCCATCTTCTACCCAGGCACCTTTTCAGGGAGTTCCAGTCCTCCCAGTCCAGGCCTTCAGAACCATTCCTACCACTTCTTGCAGGCACTTTGGCATTGCCCTCACATGGGTCAAAGGTCGGCACTGGCAGGCTGTGGCCGCTGACTGCCCACTCTTGACAGGGTCTAGCCAGGCTACAGTCCCCCAGGGGGCAGGTACCAAGGCTGGTCCCAGCGTACTCAGGGCCCCTCTATCCACCCGGGTAGGCCAAGGACGGGCAGGGCTGTGTCAGCACAGTTCCGCGGGGCCGCGGAGGAGGGGCCCGGGGCGGGGTCGGAGGTGGGGAGGAGCCGCCACCAGGCGGAGCCCGGCGGCTGGGCTGCTATGGGCGGCCGGGGCCTAGCTTCTCCTCCTGGGCCCCTCCTCGCCAAAGTCAACACCCATCTCGGGGACGGGTGCTGGCGGTAGAGGGTGCCAGGGCGCAGGGATTACGAAGCGGCCGGAAACCAAATTCCTTATTCCCAGGGCTCAGAGGGATTAAGCGGATTCGGCCTCCGACTCTGCTTCCCTCGCCTGCCCCGGGGGCCCCGCCGGGGGAGCAGAAGCGGGCAGCGATGATCGGCACAATGGCAGCTTTGTCACCACGGCTCCTGGCCGTGCCAGGGCCGGGGCAGCCCAGGACCTGGGCGCTGGGGCTCTCCTCGGCCTTCGGGCCCCCGGCCCGGCGCGGGCAGGGCTGCCGCGGATGGGGGATGCGGGGCGCGGCTCACCGTGCGTGTAGATGTTGCCCAGCTCGTTGTGCATGTAGAAGAGGCTACGCAGGCAGCCCGAGCCGCTGCTGGCCGGCCGGTAGCCGGTGAGCACGAACTTGTTGAACTGCAGGTGCGGCGGCGAGCTGGCCCAGTCCAGCAGGCGCGGCCCGGCCAGGAACGCCATGGCCCGGCCGGGCGAAGTCGCTCCGCGCTCCTCTTGCCCCCGGGTCTCCTCAGCGGGCCAACAGCACCCGAAGCCTCATCCCTGCGCCCGCCCACCTCCCAGTGCTCGGTCCGCGCACGCGCTGGCCCGGGGGTCCCGGCCCGTGCCCCTCCCGCGCTGCGCACGCGCGGTCCCCGCGACCCCACGCCTGGGCGGAGGCCGGGGACGCACAGGAATCCGGAGCGCAGTGCGGCTGGCAGGCGCTGTGCAGGGACAGCTCGCGGCGGCTGCTGTGGCGGCGGCAGCGGCCAGTAGTCTCTGGGCTGCCGGGAGGACGGGCGCGGCCGGACGCGGGAGGGGACGCCAGGCTCCGCCCCAGCTGCTCGCCCCCGCCATCCCGCCAGGGTTTCGCTCTCTGGGCTCCTGACGTCGCGGCTGCGAGGGCCAATGGGGGCGGCCGACTGGGAGGTTCCTCCCGGCAGCCGCCCAGACCTTCAGCGTCTTAGCATAATATGTGCGGTCCCAGTCTCATTTGCATGGGGTGCCTGTTGGATTGGGACCCGACGTTCTGGGTCCCGGTGGCTCGCGTTCCCTTGCAGTTCGCGCCCGGGCTTTTCGCGCGACCCCCAGGTCGACTCACCCTTGGGCATTCACCCTCCCGGGCACAGCCCCTCCACCCTGCAGCACCCCACAGCCCAGGCTCTGTCCAAGGTGCTGCTGACCCGGGATTTTCGGACGGGTCAGGTCTGGAGCCGGCGCGCCCCTACTCCACGGGTGATATCTCCACTCGCCCGACTTCCCCGGAGCGCAGCAAGGCGTGCCGAGATGCCCGGGCCTCTAGGGGTGTGCCTGACGTGCCCGGAGCCCTCCAGTGAGGCCCTGCCCTTCGGGCCAGGCTTCTTCGAGCTTGGGCTGGGCCAAAGTCGCTCACTGTTCAAGCCAAAGGCGCATCTTCGGCCCCGCCCAGGACGGGCAGGAAACGGAGAGGGAGAGAGGGCAGGAGGCCAGGTAAGAAAGTTCAGTCCCCACCAGGGTTCATCCTAAATCAGGTCCACGAAGGCATCCCTTCTACTGCTTAACCCTGCTGACAACCGGCCTCCACCTCCTCCCCTTCTCCAGGACCCCGCCTACTCATCCTTCCGCCTCCGCGGTTCCTCTGCATTCCAGGCTGCTACACGAAACTCTTTGCGATGAACGCCTTTAACTTGCATGTACACAACCACTCTTGGCACTGTACCCTCATAGCTCTTCCCACACATAAGAAATTCCGGAGCCCTGTACCAAAATAGGTCTTTTATTCAAAGTCTATGATTGGTTGACCTCTCACATTTCACTTTGGGCAGCAGTCCAGAACCACCCCAGAAGGGGCTCAAAGACCCAGGTATCGAGGTTTATGAGGCAAGTCGAATTCCTCTTGCCCTTTGGCCTTGACCATCTGGACCCCGAGGGTCAGGTGAAGTTCCCAATAATAGCACCAGATGCTTCCTATCCGACGTCTGGCCTCCTTGAGATGACTAGAGGCCGAGCTGTCAAACTTCAAAAGGGCAGAAGGCCAAGGTAGACAGTGTGTGGCAAAGGGTCTCATGAGTCTATCCCGCTGCAGGAGGGTCCAGTGGACCCTGGGGGTCCCGAGTCAGAGAGCAGAGATGAGTGAGCGCAGGGAGCTCTGGCTGGAGGCGCTCAATGGCCGGTAACTCGCGGTTAGACTCTCAACCTGGGGGTCCCCGGGAGGACAGGGCAGGGCGACCCCTCGAGGCCGGCGGTACCAAACGGCCCAGCTTCTTGCGGGGTCCCGGGAAGGCCCCAACGCTGGGGGCCCTTTACCCGGGGCCAGCAGGCAGCTCCTAGAGAGGGAGCAGACGTCAGCCGAACCCCCAACCAACCTCACCTCCAGCACCTTGCTTCGCTTGTGATCCCACGCGTCCCTCGAACGCGTGATCCTCGTCCCTCGAACCCAGGAGTTCCTTCCAGCCCTGTTCCCGTCGTGGGCCCTAGCTTCCCACCAGGGCCCCCCACGCCCCGGGGCACCGGGGCGGGGCGTCAGGCTCCCGGCAAGGTCCGCCCTCAGGTCCTGCCCCAGAGCGCGCACCGTCCGCGCAGCAGGCACAGCAGCGACAGCAGCAGCAGCAGCAGCACTGAGACGGCCGTCACCGTCAAGAAGACCTGGGCTGCGGGCACACGAGTGCGGTGAGGACAGGGCTGGAAGGGTCTGTTCCCCAAACTCTCTCCCGCCTCCCACGGCCGTCTCACCCCCAGTCGCGGCCTCTGGAGCCCCAGGCCGGGGGCTGCAGCTCACGTTGGCCCCGTCGGGGGGTCCTGCAGGGGTCTGGGCCGAGCCCTTGGGGGGCGCAGGGTCGTCGGCGTCCTGCAGCCCTGCGGAGAGGGGTGTGAGGCAGGCTAGCGGGGGAGCGGGCTGAGGGGGGACGCGGCGGGGCCTCACCGCGGTAGGTGAGCGCGAAGCCCTGCGCATGGCCGCGAGCGTCGCTGCGGAAGGTGAGCAGCAGTGCGGCGGAGCGCAGGCGCAACGGCCCCGGCGGCGGCGGGCGGGCGCCGTCGAAGGCTCGGAGCAGGCTGCCCGAGGCGGCGTCGCGCAGCTCCAGCTGGTCGCGCGGGTCCGCCAGCTCGAAGAGGCGGAAGGTGAGCTCCAGCGCGGCGCCCGGAGGGCCCAGCGCCCAGCTACAGTTCCGGTCAGGCCCATACTCGTCCGGGAAGTCCGGGGAGTAGATGACACCTTGAGGTGCAGTCCAGTTCCCCTGGCAGGAGCCCACGGACACTGTGGGCGGGGCCGGCGGTCAGAACCCGGAGACCGGCGGGCTCCTCCTTCTACATAGAATAGAGCCCCTTCCCAGCTAGGCCCCGCCCCAGACAGACCAACCTCATCTTCGGACCCCGCCTCCACCCCAGGTTCAGCCCAACTCCCTCCTCCGACCCCGTCCAACCCCTTCCATAGGCCCCAATGTCAAACTATTAATTCCCTCCTCAAGTCTCGCCCTCAAACAATTCCTTTCTCAGGTCCCGTCCTCAGACCCAGACCCCTGGCCCCAGGTTCAGCCCAGTCCCGTTTTCGGGCCCAGTCCTCAACCCAATCCCTTTATTAGGCCCCGCCCCCAACCTACCGCCTTCCCTTCCCAGATCCCGCCCCCTGTCACAGCATCGCTGAGTCTCACTCAGACTCTTCCCCTCACCCGGGCCCCTCATCCCTGCCCACTCCTCGCCTTCGTAGATGCCCAGGCGCCCATCGCCGCCGCACAGCTGGCCCGGGTGGCCAAAGCAGATCTGGTCACAGTCGGTGGCCGGAGCCGGGCGTCCCCGGGCCAGGTCGCTTTCAGAGCCACAGAAACAGGCGTAGCCAGCCTCCACGCCCGCCAACTGGGAGCACAGACTGGGTGACCACCGAGACAGGGGTCACCGTCAAGAAGACCTGGGCTGCGGGCACACGAGTGCGGTGAGGACAGGGCTGGAAGGGTCTGTTCCCCAAACTCTCTCCCGCCTCCCACGGCCGTCTCACCCCCAGTCGCGGCCTCTGGAGCCCCAGGCCGGGGGCTGCAGCTCACGTTGGCCCCGTCGGGGGGTCCTGCAGGGGTCTGGGCCGAGCCCTTGGGGGGCGCAGGGTCGTCGGCGTCCTGCAGCCCTGCGGAGAGGGGTGTGAGGCAGGCTAGCGGGGGAGCGGGCTGAGGGGGGACGCGGCGGGGCCTCACCGCGGTAGGTGAGCGCGAAGCCCTGCGCATGGCCGCGAGCGTCGCTGCGGAAGGTGAGCAGCAGTGCGGCGGAGCGCAGGCGCAACGGCCCCGGCGGCGGCGGGCGGGCGCCGTCGAAGGCTCGGAGCAGGCTGCCCGAGGCGGCGTCGCGCAGCTCCAGCTGGTCGCGCGGGTCCGCCAGCTCGAAGAGGCGGAAGGTGAGCTCCAGCGCGGCGCCCGGAGGGCCCAGCGCCCAGCTACAGTTCCGGTCAGGCCCATACTCGTCCGGGAAGTCCGGGGAGTAGATGACACCTTGAGGTGCAGTCCAGTTCCCCTGGCAGGAGCCCACGGACACTGTGGGCGGGGCCGGCGGTCAGAACCCGGAGACCGGCGGGCTCCTCCTTCTACATAGAGCCCCGCCCCTTCCCAGCTAGGCCCCGCCCCAGACAGACCAACCTCATCTTCGGACCCCGCCTCCACCCCAGGTTCAGCCCAACTCCCTCCTCCGACCCCGTCCAACCCCTTCCATAGGCCCCAATGTCAAACTATTAATTCCCTCCTCAAGTCTCGCCCTCAAACAATTCCTTTCTCAGGTCCCGTCCTCAGACCCAGACCCCTGGCCCCAGGTTCAGCCCAGTCCCGTTTTCGGGCCCAGTCCTCAACCCAATCCCTTTATTAGGCCCCGCCCCCAACCTACCGCCTTCCCTTCCCAGATCCCGCCCCCTGTCACAGCATCGCTGAGTCTCACTCAGACTCTTCCCCTCACCCGGGCCCCTCATCCCTGCCCACTCCTCGCCTTCGTAGATGCCCAGGCGCCCATCGCCGCCGCACAGCTGGCCCGGGTGGCCAAAGCAGATCTGGTCACAGTCGGTGGCCGGAGCCGGGCGTCCCCGGGCCAGGTCGCTTTCAGAGCCACAGAAACAGGCGTAGCCAGCCTCCACGCCCGCCAACTGGGAGCACAGACTGGGTGACCACCGAGACAGGGGCTGGGGTGGGGGTGGGGTAGTGGGAGCCAGAGGTTGGGGTCGGAAGTGGGAATCGGGCTGGGGGTTCAGAAATTAGTGTCAAGGTTTGGCCTCAGAGTTGGAAGTTGATTTGGTCCTGAGGTCAAGATCAGGGGTCACCACTGGTCTGGGCAGGTGGGCAATACCTGGTAGCCCTTCATGCGGCAGAAACGAAGGCACACCTGGACCGTGAGCTTTGTTGAGGTGCCGCTGGGGCCGCTGAGGGCCGGGGGTGCCCCGGAGTCCACGAAGCAGCCCAGGTACCCAGGCACTTAGGGGGCAGCAGAGTCAGGCTCAGTGAGGTGCCTCCAAAAGCGAACTCTGCCCGGGCAGCCCGGATTCCACCCTTGTCCAGCCCGGCCCACTCACTATGACACGTGGGGATATCGCAGTAGCGCCAGTAGATGCCCTCCTCTGTCTCGGCCACGTAGCACCATGGCTGCACATCACCATCTGGGTTACTGTGGGTACAGGAGAAATAGTTGGGATCCTACTGTCCCAGGAATGGCAAATTCCAGCCCTGACCCACGGCTTATTCTCAAAATGGCCACCGTGTGTGTTAGAGCAAATTCTGGTTTGCCCACCAGAATTGATGTCGACTTCCGAGTGGACGGTGGGAAGTCATTAAAGGGCCCTGGGGGCTGATTTTAGGTCTTCAGCTGTTGCTAGGCTATGAGAACTTTGAGGCCATTTGTAGTATTAGTCCTCCACCCAGCCATGGGCCTCAGCCAAGTCCCTTGTCTTGGAATCCTGCTTTAAAGCAGAAGTGATGAGCCCTAAGCTTTGCGGTTCA